AATATCTGATCCAAGGCTGGTACTGTTGGGAGAAATTAGATGCTTATCATTCTCAGAGTTTAAGAGGTTAACAGAGAAACTGGGCGGTTTATTAAAGGGTCAGACATAACAATTTCTCAAACCACGTGATTTCGAGGTCTGGTAGTGTGTGGCCAAATGTGTATGTTGAGGTCTGATATGAGGCGGAAAGAGATGGGGTGGGGGGGCTTACTTACTGGTGGTAGGTGTCGTTCCAACTGCTCTGGTTGAAGAGGAAACCATGTTATTTTTCAGCCTGGGGGATGCAAGAATAGTGGTATGAACTTTACGAAGCTTAGGATCGATGTCTGATATTGTGGGTTGCTGTGGTTTGATATCGTTTTTAAGGTCTGGTGAGGAGGCTATGTTTCCTATGAGTGACGTTCCAACTGCCAAACACTAGGTTAAACGGGCAATCATCACATTTTAATTTCAGCCTTGTGGAAGCGCTAGTTCAAAGCAGCCATGATTACGATCAGCAGAGCATCTTGCAACTTCGCCGCTAAACCCTTCTGAAGCGTGGAAAAAAGCCGCAAGGTAACCAGCTACAGCTTCATCCTCCCTCTGACACACAAGAAGTGCGTGACAGCGAGACGGTCACGAAAGAAGTAACCTGTCGCCTCATGTAAGGTAATCTGGTTTCCGGAATCCAGGAAATTTTTTGCTCGTGGAATCCGGAATACTGGGCATTGGAATCCAGAATCCCGCTAAAGAATGAATCTAGAATCCATTTGCTGACGATCCATGTCAAATCGTATTAACTGCTTTCATGCGCATCCATGCAACCACGGTCATGCTAAAACGCAGACTGCAGACCACGCAGACCGTACAGACCAAGTAGAGCGCGCTTTGTTCGGTGGAGAATTCCGACTGTTACAGCTTGCGAGACACGGACAAATTCATTCATGACCTATCACCAAATCGACTTCGACTTCCCTATTTCCCAGTAGAGTTCGATTTAGCTCGCATCTCTTCCTTTACTGTTAAGTTCTTTAGGCTGTTATGTGAAGATTTCATACCTCTAAATCAGCGTCACACACAAATTACATGCCGTGTAGGGCCATGAACTCGAGAAACTTGAGCCTGCGATTTTTGTTTTGCTAACAAGAGCTCGAAATGACATCATAAAATTTCATCATGTGGTGTCCAAAGTGCAGAGTGCAGTTCACTGAAGTGGTCAATGGTATGCAAATTTGGAGGGACAAAAGAAATTGTTTACATAAACGAAGCGTTCAAATCCCATAGGATTTTTTTTAGAACACCAACATGACGACGGACCACACGTTTCCAATAACGATAAACTTTAAACAAAGATATATATGTGGATACCTATGGGAGCCGGGAGAGGTCTATTTCTAAGTAGATTTTTTACCATTTAAACGTAAACTGCTTTCTTTGATATTTGGCATTCGGAATAACGAATTTGAAGATTTCATTACGCATCATATCTCAGTGCAAATAAAGTAAGATATTACCAGAATTTAGGGTCAAACAACATTTTGTAGAGAAGAAAATAGCGGCGGGCCCCCTTTATAAAATCATTGCCCTGGAGAATTCATAGCCGACGCAATGTGAGTTGACTTGGTTAACCTTTTAAAGAAAAAGGAAGTACTGAGAAAGGAGAATCTTTTTCTTAGAAAATTACCGTGTATATATAGATCTTTTACGATTTTGCAAAGGTTTTAGTATAGTTGAGTTAGTTGAACACCGTTTTATCCGCAATCTCATAATGTCGAACATCGTCGCCAATTACATAGAGGAAAACAAGCTTTTCTTAATACAGGCTGCAATTTATTTGCGACATACACGGGGCGTTATAAAAAGTGTATTTCAGTTTTAATTTTTCCTCAATTTGGTCTTTGTTTAAAAGGAACATTAAAAAACCAATTTGAGATGGATTCCGGAACCTGCAGGGGTAGAATCCAGCACCTGAATCTTATACTGTCCTGAATTACCTTACATAGGGCGAAACCTGGAAGGGCCAATGGAGCATGGGAATTAAGTTCAACTCCTCCCCAAGACTACGCAGGGGTTCGTTGCAACTTGAGATCAATCTTTTCTCCAATCTCGTGCCTGTTACGAGTCCAGTCTGTGTTGACAGAAAAATCCTGCCAAAAGTCGGCCGAAGGCAAGGTAGAGTGGCGTATGCATTATAGGAGGTATTAAGTAATTTTTAGGATTATAATCTTTGGCCAAGGAAAGAAGGACATGTACACATATGCGTTATGCAATCCATATTATGTCTGCCTCAAAATAATTGCTTAATTATATTCATTTGACGAAAATCATGTCTGTGCGAGTCTACGTACCTCTATTGAATTTGCCCTTCATGTTTAACATAATTAACTATTACTTCTTGTGTAACCCCTAAAGTGGCCCTATTTTGCTTGATACATATTATGAAATTTTTTCAACAACGAACGAAATCTCCTCGTACCTCGATCGGCTGATGTCTGGGCAAAATTGTGCATAGTTCATGATTAACTCAATTTATTTTAGCCAAATTTAAACATCCTTTACATTCAGCTGTCTTAAATCGTGAAGTATGCTGGATAATGAGGGGAAAGGATGGCTGATGAATTAAACTTAGTGGTTCTGATAAATCCAATGGTAATCTATGATGGGAAATTTCATTTTCTATCCAAAACCCTTGAGGAAGGCAGTCATGCCCCACGCTCGTGACAAGACGAAAAAGCATCTTTCTCTAAGGTTACAATTTATTCTTCACAGAAGCCAGCAAAAGCTTGACCCCAAAGAAAATTTTTTTAAGTTGCTGTCAAGAAAACCAACATTTTGGATTTTGTGACATGAAAATTTGACACAAAAGTTGAGGGTTGGTATACTCAGTAGAGTGCAGAAACACTATTTATCCCTTGAATGTAATGTGAACCTCTTGGAAAAAGGCAAAACATGGTATGATTACAAAATTGCCACATTAGTTTCTGCCTGTCTGTAGCTGAATATCTAGACCACAATGATGATTGCTTTCATTCAAAAAGAAATTGTATGTGTGTTGAAAGGGTCATGCAGAAATAGTTTGTACTCCAGTTTGTTTGAAAAGTTCTTCTAGGATGCTGCTTTTCTTTGTAATTCTGCTCCCAACTGTCCAAAGGATTGAATGACACTTCCCAGTGTGTTTAATTAATTGCCATCTGCTGGAAAGAGTTATTTGTGTTATATACGTGTACTTGATAGCAATTTATCTGGTGGATCAAGTTATCTACCCTTCAGACAACCAAGGCCTAAAATTTTTTTTCCTCATTAACAGAAGGTCAACATGCAGTTGATATCATTGAATATTGCAGTCTTTGTGTCATTGTTGCTCCATGGCCTGCCGCTGTCAAGTGCAACCAAGCAAAGCTCAAAGCCACACATCATATTTATTGTCGCTGATGATTTGGTGAGTCATATGTGAGGAAATTACCATGATATCTCCACATCTGAGTGCAAGATATTTGATCCGAATTGAAAAAGCATCATTCATTTTGGATGTCTTTGAGACTATATGGTCCAATACCTAATGGACAATTAATATGATAATTGTAGAAAAAAGATGAAAACATGCAAAGAGGAAATCAGTATTAAATAAATCTAATTTCTTTTGAAATTGCAAATATGAAGATACTTGTGGAGCTACAAGGTAATTTGGTATTATTGACTCAGTTGATAATGTAAATTGACCATTCTAAAGAGTTTCTAAGCTGACATTTGGAGCTTCAGCCCTTTGTCAGAGTGAATGTGGAGTATTAACTTGTGGAGCTTATAAGTTCCTCACCTGCCTACCTGGTAGAAGTATGCATTTCATCATAAACTGATAAAATTTGGAACTACACAGGGGCAAAATCTAGAGTACATGTGCACGGAATTCCCACCCTCACCCCCTTCCTCTAAGATGGCTTGCAGTTTTTTAAATTGATATTTAATGATAATATTAAGCTGTATGGTGTTTGCTATATATTTTTATGTCTTTCCTTGATTTAAGTCTTCCTTTGTCTTGTGCCCTTTTAAAAAAGTATTTTATGTCATCCACTAGGTATGTCTCATTCCTTCCATGGCACATCCCTCCTGAGAAAAATCCTGGATCCCCACACATCCCCCTCCCCTCTCACTAGACCAAGTGAATATCCTTTAGCTGATATATGTTGAATTTTCTGCCCTCATTTTCTGATTGGTCAATTATGATAATCATAAATTCAATTACCTAATTGAATGATTCTTTTTAGGGATGGGATGATGTGAGTTTTCATGGCTCAGAGCAGATCCCAACACCAAACCTGGATGGACTAGCCAACAGTGGGATAATTCTCAATAATTATTATGTTCAACACATATGTACACCGACAAGAAGTGCTATAATGACAGGCCGATATCCCATCCATACAGGTGACATAATGTTAAAATGACCAAAACTCATCACCATGAACACACAGAATATTTATTATCAAAACTATAACATGCATAAATATACACCAATTGATGCGACATCATGTATATTATACACATTGTGTGTATGCTACAAAAGATATAACATGCAGCACTTTAAAGTTAATCCAAGACATTGACAAAAAATAAAGATCAGCAAAATGGTGTTATCAGGTAATTCAGTAATAGTTAAATAATAATGTTTTGTAAGGTAAAACTTCCTTTTTGCTGTCATATATTGGCTACAAGACAGGTAAATTCGTCTAGCACTACTGTATACTACCAATAAGCTATGAGAAACTTCTCCCCCACCCCACCCTATTTGGTAGGTTTATTGCATGTTCAATGCTCAGACTGCAAACTAGGCTGCAAGTTGGTCTTTATAATTAGTGTTGCAGGACGCAAGTTTCTCTGTGTGTAGGAAGATTAGAGACAAGTTAGGAATAGGTTTGGTAAGGGTTTGGGATTGATAATTATCAACATTAGACCCCTCACAGACCTCTGACTCCGGCTGCATTGTTCAAGGCCTCACACTTTCCTAAGGCCATAAAAAAAGCCCAAAGTGCGAACATCAAGGACCTAATCACAGGCTAATTGCTACTATTTACTCTGACTCTAAGTGATAACTGTGATCATTATATACATATGTTTAGGTATGCAGCATTATGTTATCGAAGCTGCACAGCCCTATGGACTTGGTTTGAATGAGACTCTTTTGCCACAACACTTAAAACAGCTTGGATATGCCACACATGCTGTTGGAAAGGTAAAACAGTTTGCTCTTTTAGGGATAACTGTGTTCATTGTTTATACCTAGGTATGCAACACAGTGTTATTCAAGCTTCCCAACCCTATGGACTTGGGTTGAATGAGACTCTTTTGCCACAATACTTAAAACAGCTTGGATATGCTACACATGCAGTTGGGAAGGTACAAATTACAAACAGTGATAATGACAAATCTTGCACCTTTCTACCAGCTGTGCAATTTGTTACTTTTCTCCTAATGATAATACTGCTAACAGATGTACATGTGTATACCTGGGCCTGGTTTACCAAAGATCGGATAACGGTATCCAACAAATTAACTGCTATCCAGGGGATATGTGTTAACCAGACAGAGATTTATCCAGAAGCTAGCATTATCCACCCTGTGAACAACCAGAACATGAATGATAGCTATACCCTGGGGGTTTCCATGCTTTTTTTCCATAAGCAGCTTCCAATGATGTAATAGGCAGCTGTGCCTGTAAAGGTACTGTTAGGCAAAACCCAAATGCAAGAACCTGCTTGCAAGCGAAACAGATGGCAGCAGACCACCAATAACACCTTGATGCTCACAAGCCAAATTAAAAATTAGCATCTCTCTTATGAGGCCCTGTTAGGGGGGGTCTCTTGTCCCCTGTCTGAATTCAAACCTTTGCATGTTACATTTTCGAAAGGTTTGCTGTCTTGATCTAAGACCAAGTTCTTGTAGCTAATATACAAGGATATGTGTAGCAGCTAAAAGGGAGATTAACAATCAGATCTTGGGAGTTAAAGGCTTAATCACTGAATAATCTATTCTTTTCTTTATTTCCCTCCTTTTTATTCATAAGTTTTCCATTCAGTTATTTTCCCCTTTTTTTATCTACTGTTTTTGTCTTCTAGTGGCATCTTGGTTTCTTCAAAACAGAATACACTCCTACAAAACGAGGATTTGACTCTTTTTTTGGTTACTGGTGTGGAAAGGAGGATTACTGGGACCATTCAAACAAAGAAGTATTCGGTTGGGGATTGGACCTTCGTGATAACCTGGAGGTAAATGTTGAATCGATACAGAGTTAATATGGGATTCCATTAATTTAAGTAATTATGTTCAATAGAGCGATTTTCAATTGAGTGTCAAAAGTATTCTGGGATTTCTTTGCTTTTACTTTTCTTCGCGCTGTGATTGGTCCACAAAACTCCCGCCACTCTCTCAACCAATCAGATGCAAAACTAAAACCAATTATGACTTAATCGCCCGCGTTTTCCCGCGCCTTAGGCAGTATTTTTACTTTGAGCTCTTATTGGCTCTTCAAGGTATTTTCCTTCTTCTGATTGGCCTTTTTTAACTTTGGTGTTGGTTTGGCGACACTCGATCGTAAAGCGCTCTATGAGTTTTTTACAGTTACAGACCTTTGTGCTGTCCCCTCTAAGACCGCTCTTTAGTTGAGATTTCATCTCAAACCTTCGTTTTTCACCTCCTTTGGTCATTTCTTCGCTTGTTTGTTGATTGTTCTGTATCTTTCTTGTTTACTACTTGGTCGTGCTTCTGTTTACGTCGTGGTGCGTTTGGTTCTTTGTCTGTTTGCTTGTTCTGCAGTTTTTTCTGTTCGTCATTTTCTTTGATTCGGTTCGTTGGTAACATTTGGTCGGTCTATCAGCTCGTGGTTCCGTCGTTCCGTCGGTTCGTCGATATGTCTGTCCGTTGATTCGCTGGTTCATTATTCGATGAGCTGTACTTATGTTTTCCAAATCGTTCGCCTATTCTTATTTTTTAATTTCTCTCTCTCTTTCCACCATTGTTTCATCCTCGTTATAATTTGTTTTTTCTTCTTTTCAAATATCAGCCTGCCTTTACTGACTGGGGCAATTACAGTACCGATCTCTTCACAGCGAAAGCCATCGATGTTATTCAGAAGCATGACCCTTCTCAGCCTTTGTTTTTGTATCTTCCATACCAAGCTGTTCACAGTGCGAATTATATTCAGCCACTGCAAGCGCCACCATCTGAAATCAAGAAATTTTCCAACATCGAGGACGTAAACAGGAGAATTTTTGCTGCAATGGTGTCAACCCTCGATCAGGGTGTTGGAAAGGTACTTTTCGGTCTATTGTCGTAAATCCAAACCCAAAGTAATCACAACAGCCAATCAAAAAAGGACCTTTGACCGCTGTGATATCAGGGTGAGGGAAGAGGGAAGCCACCAAAATGCCTAAAAGTATGAGTTCATTTTCACGAACCATAAATCACTCTTTCAGTCTCATTGCGCTCCATTGCCGCAATTTTGAGAGAACAGTGAAATAAAGCAATTATGCATGCAACTTTAAACTTAAAACTACACTACTTCCGTGAATTTCTTTAACCATTGATTTTAACCGCTGAATTCTCTCTATACGTGTAGGTCATTAATGCACTCCAAAGCCAGGGATTGTACAACAATTCAGTGATCGTATTTACAACGGATAATGGCGGTCCGGCGGCAGGTTTTGACTTGAACTCCGCCTGTAACTTTCCTCTCAGAGGAGTTAAGGCAACATTATGGGAAGGTAAAGCGTTATATGAAATTATGATTTTATTCATTAGAAAGAGAGTTGTTTTGAGATGTTCGCGATTCTATCTAGTTTTGTCACTGTTTAAGGGTAGTGCTAATTGTCAGTGCCACCACAGGCGTCACAAGCTCACGTCTTGAGAGAGAGCTAACAATTTTTTTTCATGAAAGTTCACGAAAGCGTCACGCGTTGTGTGACGCAGTGTTAAGTTATGAGAGGAAACGTTGAGAATTTGAACACGATTTTTCGTATAAAATGTTCATATTTCGAAATATTTATACACCGCGTCACATAACGCGTGACGCTTTCATAAACTTTACTTCATGAAAAAAATAGCGTGCTTTCTCTCGAGACGTGAGCTTGGGACGCCTGTGGTGCCACTGCTTGCGTGTTGCCACCAAACCATGAAATTACTCATTTCATGTTTCGTCCAATTTTTAATTAACAACAAGCTAACCTTTTGCTTATCAGGAGGTGTTCGTGGCGCCGGTTTCGTACACAGTCCTCTACTGTCCACAAAAGGCCGAGTGAGCATGGAAATGATGCACGTCACTGACTGGCTCCCCACACTGTATAGTTTAGCAGGAGGTGACATTCATGATTTGGGTGTTGTGGATGGCTTCGATATGTGGGAAACACTTTCCAATGCAACTGAATCACCTCGCAAGGAAATTCTTCACAATATAGATCCTATGAGTGGATATTCAGCCTTGAGGTTTGGTGACTGGAAACTTATTGTGAATGCAAGTACGAGAAGTAAGCCTGAATTTTGATATCCAAATCTACTTCATTTGTTAAACTAAAAGGTCCATGTACAATTTGTGTTTATTGTTGTTGCTTTTGTTGTGGTGATGGTTGTTGAATCGATAATACAAGAAATATATGGATTTTTTTTTTTTTTCTGAAGTAACTCTGTGGGTCAGAATCTTAAATTCTCTGATCTCATTGGCTAATCACGTGCTCGAAACTGGTCCAGCTTTTTACAATACAGTCCAAGGTTCGGAAATTTTCGGCATCATTCGCGGAAAAACTAGCTGAAGAAAAAACAAAGACATTTACCAGTCTAGATTGGTCCGTATGGGAAAAAATTGTGCCCTCTGCCAAAGATCTCAGGCACAGTTTCTTCTGATGCGGATCCCCACACTATTTATGACATAAACTCCTCATACGTTGCTGTATACAATACCGTGGCTTTACGAATGTCTCTCTCCCCCTTCCCTCAGGTAAATCGTGGAGTGGATGGTATGCTCCCCCCGGACTAGACAACTACAATCATGCAATCCGAGGTGCGACATTGAAGAAAGCTGTCGTCACTTGCGGTAAGCCACCCAGTTCTCCGTCGGAGTGCACAAGGGAGTCGGGCCCTTGTTTGTTTAACGTTGCAGATGATCCTTGTGAATATGTCGATCTTGCTAAAAATGAGTCGGAACTGGTAGAAAGTATGTTGAAGCGGCTCGAAGGATTTAAAGAGACTATGGTCCCACCAAGAAATCAACCGCTTGACCCTAAAGCAAATCCTAACAACTTCGGTGGAGTTTGGAGTCCTTGGATGGATTGAGGGTTGATTGATGTAGAAGAGGAGGAACGTAGGTTTGGGGGAAGTTGGTGTAAATTCTCTCCACTCCCTTTGTTTCCTTACTGAGAGTGTTTAGGCCACACTGAACTAAAATTTATTTTTGTAATATTTTCATCAGTAACCAGCCAATCATGTTATTGCAGGAGTGATCTGTATGTGGATTCCCTTTGAAATTTTAATATACTGTAACTTCAAATGAGTCTTAATTAAGGAGCATGAAACTTACCAACTGCAGGGAACATTGCCTTTTCTCAGAAATACACGTGTCTGGCCATTACGTGTAAAAATCACCTCCATTGTTTAAGGTTCTAAGGGTTGATTTTATGCAACAATGAGAACGTCAAACAGAAGGGATGACGTAAAATTTTATTTTTTAAAAAGTAAAAAAGTATGGATGATTAAAACTAGAATCATGGGCTGAAAGGTACCGCTCGGATTTAAAAATCTTCTAAACACTTGAGTACTCTGTACAATACAATGAAACCTGTATTAAGCGGACCGCTGTTGTAACTTGTTGTGTCTTTGTTAATTCTGGATAAACTAGAAGGGTTTTTTTGCCTTCTTTTAAACGATATTTTCGTTAGAATCTTACTCGAAGTGTCTTACCTCAACCCACCCTTCCAAAAAAATAACTCCTGCATGCGTAGCGTGCCAATGTTTTGATATATCACGAAACGTTTCACCCATC